TGTATCTATAAAAAGAATACCCGCTCGGCCCGGCGGCTAGGATCAAAGTGTAGTATCTGCGCTTTGAGAGCTGCCGGGTCGGGTGTCTGTCGAACTCTCTGCTTGCAGAGGGGAACCCGGACGAAGCTCTGCCGAAGGGTAGGGTTTCGTTCAGGGAGGTTGACGGAACTAGCCCGCTTGGACGGGTTTAGATGGGTTTTATTTTTGGCTGGGCCTACGGGCTCAGACATACCCACATTAAAAAGGCCTTGTGCCACATTCAATTCCTGTGGGTGAATTGATAAATACCATGTATGTGAGACTGTAAGCACCAGGAATTGCACCCCCTTCCGTAATGCAGTGTTAAGAGAGAAGAGCATCTACTTAGAGTATGTAGAGCTGACTATTTGCATATGAACGATACTGGGCGGGTGTTAGCCAATAGTCAGTGTGGGTCTGGGGATGGGAGAGCTATATAACACCAGGTTTTTTTTTATCAGTCGAGAGAAGCGCTCCCAACGTGCGGAAACCAGACGAGACAAACAATAACTTCAACAATACTAAATACTGTGAAAATTTCAACACACTGACGCTTTTTTTCTAAAAAATTCTATTTGTGTAAGCGTTCACATATCCAAGGTCGCAGTGAATTTAATTTACCAAAAGAATGTATGTTATCTTATACATCAATTTATAATGCTAATGAAAATATTAAAAAAAATGGTATTATGTAAGTGTACAAATATCCATGACAGTAGTGAATGTTTTAAATATTATTTTGACGAAAAACAAAACAAAAAAACAACAAATCTTTTTATGTAACCATTTCTAACTGTCACTCTAGTAAAAAAAACAAAAAAAAACAAAAAAAAAAAAACACACGCGATGGTATTATATAACGGTTCAAGGGTCTAATGTAGCAGTGAGTGTTAATGCATTTAAATCTTTACCAAATTTAAGTAAAGGTAATTTGATAATTAATGCCAAGTTGAAGTGCAGTAGAAATGTTGTTTTTTTTTTAATAATCACTACGCACCAAACAAGATAAAACTACTAAGACATAAAGGGCTGGTCACTGAGGGTGAAAGAATATGAGATAAAAAGCATTATTAAAGAGAAAGAAAATTAAAAAAAAAAAAAAAAAAAAATTAAGACAGAAGATAACGATTGACATTGCATTTAAATTTTGAAGATCAAAGTTGACGGGAAAACAAGAATCCAGAAGAGAATTCCACAAGAGAGAAGTGCGAGAGAAAAAGCTTAGCATAAAACTTAGGTTTCATGTAGCCATTTCAACACTAAAATGAGACCTTGCTGCCGATCTAGTACTGCGTTTAAATCCATAGCCTACGTACCAGAGAGTATTATTTATATGTATAAATTACAAAACCTGGCACAGGGCCAAAATGGGGAAAAAAGGACGGTTTTCTGTCTTAGCTAATTTTACTTAGCGAGCCACAAACACGGACTCAAACATACCACAATATTCCTTTCGCCAAATTCTTACTACATCCACCATAATACCTCATTGTCTCTATGGAAGTCCTAATATGTACAATTCATGGTCTGTGGGAGTGGGGGGAATAAAATAACAATTTAAAAAAATTTAAACCCCAGTGAATATTTACAAATGTCAAACAACACAATATAAATAATTCCCCTCGCAATATGTAAATGGGGCAGAAACACCAGTTAACTGGACGAAATCAATGCTGGACTCTAATGATATGATATTCATTTCAAGCACTTACTCATCCAAACAACTCTTTCAAACAACAACATCAAATACGAAAGACAATCCTCACCCAAAGAAGTGAAGTCTCTGCTCATCTAAAGGGAGGGAGGGAAGGGGAATTAAACTAAAGAAAAGAGGTACATAAATATAAGGGACCAATGAGCATGCATCTTCTAGCGAAGTTGACTTGAAAGAAGAAACTTAGGACAAAATGGAACCCTAAATACCAGAGAGGAGAGTCCTTCAGAACAATTAAAATGAAAGATATATATATATATATATATATATATATATATATATATATGTGTGTGTGTGTGTGTGTGTATATATGCACAGATATTACATTACGGAGGATGTAACTAAAGTACAGATGCCAGGTGAAGACCACTAACATTACAGATTCGTTTCTTGCATTTTTATCAAGTATCAGACCAGATGTGGCAACAACATTCAATGAACAATGGTATAATCAAATACTTATAAGTGGTCAAAGTAGATTCTTCTAGCAAGATATTCAATAACACAAGTGCATATCCCAAGGGTTGCTGAAATATTTCATAAAATCTCAATTTGGATAACTTTTTTTATTTAATGTTACGATTTACTTTCCAGTAATAAATTTTCATTCTATTATGAACAGTGAATGAATTATTAATTTTTATCTGGACAAAATGTAATCTCACAACAAATTTTAATGGTCATTCGAATAAAAGAAGAAACAATAACAGATAAGGTTTCAAATATCTAAAATGGTAATAGATTTAAATTCCTTTACCAAATAAAGTTTAATAAAAGTTCTTATGTTATCTCTAAGTAGACTTGCAGTTAAAATGATCATTTTAAGTGGTCAAAGATTCCTGTAGCAAAACATTTATTATTCGATAACACAAGTAAAGATCTCTAATATTTTATATTAAGCTTTATCTTACATTAGTCAGATATATTTTCATTCAGTTGTCAAGAGATTTTATACATTTCATATTTTGTAAAAAGACAAAAAATTTGAAACTGCTTTCTCCGTACACATTTTGAGAAGATCATACGAAAAATATAAAACCTGCAATAAGAATACGTTTTCAAATTACATGCAGGATGAATATGTAAAGATTTAACTTTTATCCAATGGGCCATGTATTCTTGGATAAAAGCTTTGGTCAAAATAATCCAGTGAATTGGCCCAAATATTTGTGAGTTCAATACCTGGTCACAGCAGCGGTGAACAAAAAATTGGAGACTTGAGTTACTAAAGGGAAATAACTGAAACTGAGAGATCCAGAAAAGGCATGGCATGTGGAACTAGAACAATCTGCCCAGGTGGTTCAAATAAAGTGTTCAGTTTAAAATTCCAGCATATATCAACTGAAGACGGCTGTAGTGTACAACTGCCAAAATGTCATGAATATGACACTAAAGATGAGTCCAACACAGTAAATCTTTTACATATGCCAAGATGTATGAACTGTTTGCTAAATGGGATCATTTTAAAATCTTCAAAATAATTTGGCTTTTCTCTGTTCATCAGTAAGTAGCAAGAAAATGATTTATGTAATTTATTTTTCTATGTAAAATTATTTCAATATGGCCGTCTGTTAGAAAAAGAACAACAGGTTGACAAAGACTAGCATCTTGACAACTAGAAAAAAGAGGCTGTAGTAAATGATTGGTTTGAAATTTAAAGAATGTTTAAGAAACTCTGAGAAACTTGGAGGAAGCACTAAATTTATGGTTCTTCTTGGAATCTCACAAATCTATTGAAGCAAAAAATGTTTTTCTTTTTGTTCATGGACAAATCTTTGTAAATTATGTGCTGGTAAAATGTTATAGAAAATTAAATTATTTTAAGAAAGCCCTTGTGGGTGTATTTGTACAAAGGGCTGTAACTCTTCACTGTTTATTGTTTTTTTCATTGCCAGTATAGAATCTCCTGTATACGCTCCCTCCCCAAATCTAACTGAACATCGCTAGGAATTTTGAATCCAACCCTTTATTTCATCTACCAGAGTAGATTGTTCTAGTTCCATGAATTTTCTGGCCCAGGAAAACATGGCCCAGTGGATAAAAGTTGACATAATCCAGTGACTTGACCCCAAAAGAATTGGGAGTTCAATATCTGGCCTCAAGCCGTGAACAAAAATTTGGAAAGTTGAGTTAAAGGGAAATAACTGAAACTAAGACCTCCAGAAAAGGCATGGCACGTGGAACCAGAAGTATCTACCCCAGTGGACTAAAAGGAATCGATTCGAAATTCCAACGTATATTACCTGAAGAAGACCAAGGCGTACAACGGTGCAAACTTCATGAATGTGACATTAAAGATGAGCACTACAGTCCGAACAATGTGAATAGTGTAAATAGTTATAATACCTCATCTCAGAAATATAGACAGGTATAAAAATTGAATTTTTACAAAACTGTATAAATGCTATTCCTTTGAAATACAAAATAAAATTATTGCTTTTTTAATGGTGACTCAAAACAAACAAAAATATAATGTCATTATGTAAGGGAAGGGTCGAATATCCAAGGCTACATTGAATTTAACAAATTTTATTTACGAAAATGAAACAGAAGCAGTTCTAAACAAAAAGAAGGAATTTTGCAAAAGTTTAAATATCTATGGTAGTAGTGAATGTTTTAATAAATTTAATAAATAACCAAAATAAAGTATATATTGCTTTCTAATATTGAATAACAAAAAACATAGATGGCATTACGTAAGGGTTCAAAAGCTAGTCGTGAGGGTTCTCATTTAATTTTATTATCCAAAGCAAAGCAGATGCATTATAATCGTAATTTATAATTCTAGCTAACAAAAAATTCGTTGGAATTTTGCAAAAAGGTTAAAATAAAATGCAGTAGTGAAAGTTTTAATAAATTTTATTTTATAGATAAAAAAAAGTGTAAGTTATATAGCAAGTTATATTTTGTCACTCTTATAAAAACAAACCCAAAAACATGCAGTGTAACAACCGCACTGAGTTTGCATTTAAAATTTGCAGAAAACTTACATTTATGTGTAATTGTACATACTCCATTCGAATCTAGCTTCATAAATTGGATAAAATCTACCGTTTTGGAGTTATCGACGGTGAAATTTCGGATTCAATTGCGTAGTTGGCGGCAGCCATTATTCACCTTGTTTACACACATTCATTGCGGAAAGCTAAACGCGGAAGACTACGGAAAAACCAAGTTAGGAACTGATTTTTCTTGTCTAAATTTGCCTCAATTACTGCGCACGAGAACTATTTACGTACACACTATCAGTTTGCGCAATGATAACTATTCAGGAGCGAATGAATACAAACAACGCCAGGCACGACTCGTTGAGCGGCGGGGAGGCCGGAAGAGTTAGGCACGACTCGTTGAGCGGCGGGGAGGCCGGAAGAGTTAGGCACGACTCGTTGAGCGGCGGGAGGCCGGAAGAGTTAGGCACGACTCGTTGAGCGGCGGGGAGGCCGGAAGAGTTAGGCACGACTCGTTGAGCGGCGGGGAGGCCGGAAGAGTTAGGCACGACTCGTTGAGCGGCGGGGAGGCCGGAAGAGTTAGGGCACGACTCGTTGAGCGGCGGGGAGGCCGGAAGAGTTAGGCACGACTCGTTGAGCGGCGGGGAGGCCGGAAGAGTTAGGCACGACTCGTTGAGCGGCGGGGAGGCCGGAAGAGTTAGGCACGACTCGTTGAGCGGCGGGGAGGCCGGAAGAGTTAGGGGCACGACTCGTTGAGCGGCGGGAGGCCGGAAGAGTTAGGCACGACTCGTTGAGCGGCGGGGAGGCCGGAAGAGTTAGGCACGACTCGTTGAGCGGCGGGGAGGCCGGAAGAGTTAGGCACGACTCGTTGAGCGGCGGGGAGGCCGGAAGAGTTAGGCACGACTCGTTGAGCGGCGGGGAGGCCGGAAGAGTTAGGCACGACTCGTTGAGCGGCGGGGAGGCCGGAAGAGTTAGGGCACGACTCGTTGAGCGGCGGGGAGGCCGGAAGAGTTAGGCACGACTCGTTGAGCGGCGGGGAGGCCGGAAGAGTTAGGCACGACTCGTTGAGCGGCGGGAGGCCGGAAGAGTTAGGCACGACTCGTTGAGAGCGGGGAGGCCGGAAGAGTTAGGGCACGACTCGTTGAGCGGCGGGGAGGCCGGAAGAGTTAGGGCACGACTCGTTGAGCGGCGGGGAGGCCGGAAGAGTTAGGCACGACTCGTTGAGCGGCGGGAGGGGAGGCCGGAAGAGTTAGGCACGACTCGTTGAGCGGCGGGGAGGCCGGAAGAGTTAGGCACGACTCGTTGAGCGGCGGGAGGCCGGAAGAGTTAGGCACGACTCGTTGAGCGGCGGGGAGGCCGGAAGAGTTAGGCACGACTCGTTGAGCGGCGGGGAGGCCGGAAGAGTTAGGGCACGACTCGTTGAGCGGCGGGAGGCCGGAAGAGTTAGGCACGACTCGTTGAGCGGCGGGAGGCCGGAAGAGTTAGGGCACGACTCGTTGAGCGGCGGGAGGCCGGAAGAGTTAGGCACGACTCGTTGAGCGGCGGGGAGGCCGGAAGAGTTAGGCACGACTCGTTGAGCGGCGGGGAGGCCGGAAGAGTTAGGCACGACTCGTTGAGCGGCGGGGAGGCCGGAAGAGCTAGGCAAAAATAGTTTGGAAAGTTGAGATGATACTAAACACTGACCAACATCGTTGCCATAAAAATTAAATCTTAAGAAACATCATTCAGTAAAAGAATGATCTTTCATTCTTTTACTGAATGATTACTCGAAGCACTTACCTAATTCCTTTCACAAAACTTCAATAGGAACGAAAAATCGGATAAATACGATTTTATTTAAGGAAAATATTTTAACACAGTGGATCCGAGAAAGCTAAAATCACTCACAAGATTTGTGGTACCCGCCATTTTTCTTATAGAATTTAAACTCGATGTGTAGGAATTTTTGCCTACAGACGTGAAGAAATGGTCGCCAACTTAATCATTATTAAAAAAATAAAAATAAGAAAAAAAACTATTGCAGGCGCGTTGTAGTTCCCCGCCCTCATTATTTTACTAGTCACGTTTACTTACCCATCCATTCCTCATTGATGTTTTTGTTATAACATTGCATTTATTTTAAATCGTTTACACTATATACATACAATTGGATGCAGAATTATTTTCCCAATTAACCACTGTGAATTTAATTTCATGATATTTATATACTTAACAGAAAGAGTTTAATGCTACAAATTCATTAAAGTTAATATTTTTTGTATTTTATTCTACTATATAATACTAAAATATTTATATGAAAGTAAAAAAAAAAATTCAATTTAAGTCCAAAAAAAAGTTTCACTGTAAAGATCAATAACAGATTGAGAATCAGCTGCTCCTATTTTTAAAAAGAATTAAAAAAATTGATTTGTAATTAAAAGAAGAGAAAGATCCACTCTTTGAACTTCTTTAAAGACGCCAAACATTAAACTCAATCATTTTCGATTTAATATTCAAAATACAAAATAAAATTTGCAAAGTACAGAAAGTTGATGCATTCCAATTTGTTTGGGCCATCATCAACTAAATAATTTGCTGGGAAAGAAAAGGATATTTTCTCTTAATTCACTCCAAAATAAAGAATCTATATTGACTTAAATTCGCACCAAATTCTCCCAGAACGAGAACCTTCCATTGAACTTCCGGTTGGCTGACCTTTGTGATTTTTGCAAAAATGAGCTACTAGGGTACGCTATTTCTAAATGTAGGGGTCTACATTCGCGCTCATCCCGATAAACAAGCCTAAAACAGATTTTTTTAAACTGTAAAATATTCCTTGTAAATACCTCGAATATCACTCACACTTACGAAATATGAATAACTCCGTGATATTTTTTTTATTCTGATGTTGAGTTGTTATAATTTCTTGGGATGAATTAATATTTGCGATAAGTAACTTTAGATTATTACGAAGGAATTACCAGAAAAGATATAAAAGAAAAACTAACACGAAGTGCTCACCAAAATTGGCATAAAAATTCAACATGAAGAAATATTATTCAATAACAGATGAAGTGACACAAAACACTTACCTTAATAAAACCTATTTTGTTTAAAGGAAAATATCCTATACTCCAATCCGAGAAAGATAAATTCATTAACGAGGTTAGTGGCTCCTGCCATTTTGGTTATAAAGAATTTAAACTCGCCTGAACGTTTGGCTGCAGACGTCAAAGGTCGCCAGCCGAATCATTATTTATTGGGAAAAATATCATAGGGTATTTTGTAGGTCCACAATTTGGTATTGTGGTATATGCAGGATTGAATGGTGATGGATGTATTCTTGTGGTAATTCGATAAATTATATTAGATCAATGGGTTGTGATTGTAATTAACTAGGACTATGATAGATAGCAAAGACCAGTCTCCCCCCCCACTTCCCCTCCGGACATGTTTCATAATTATTGTACTTTTTACAATAATAAATATAATACTTATTGGGAAAAACAAACAATAAAAACGGTTATTCTGAGAGTTGGAGGCAAGCTAAACAAATTTTGATTTAAAATTTATAATTTCTTGAGGTGAATTAATATTCGCGATAAGTAACTTTAGATAATTTCGGGGTAATTAACAGAAAAGATACTTTAAAAAAATGACACAAAATGCTCACCAAAATTGGCATAAAATTTCAATATGAAGAAATATTATTCAGTAACAGATAAAGAAAAATGGCACTTACTTTAATAAAAACGATTTTTTTAAAGGAAAATATCCTTCAGTATCTATCTATATTTCCGAGACGAGATATTACGTACACTATTTACATTATTCGGACTATTGTTCTCATCTTTGTCGCCATATTTGTTACAACGTTTGAACGGTGGAATGTCGAGATGAACCCTTTATTTCGCTCACTGGGGTAGACTGTTCTATTTCCACGTGCCATGTATAATGGATGCCAGATTGTTAGTTATTTCCTGTTAATTCCCCTCTGCAAGCTCACCACCTTAACCAGGTATTGAACTCACACTCATTGGGTCCGGTCACTGGATCTAACTAACGCCTTTATCCACTGTGCCATGTGTTCTTGATATATTTGGTATTATAAATCTAATGTCTTCAGCAACCATGATATTTGGTAATTTTTTATTCTGAGGGTTGGAGTTGTTGCGAAGCAAGCTAAACAAATTTTGATTTAAAATTTATAATTTCTTGGGATGAATTAATATTTGTGACAAGTATGAAGAAATATTATTCAATAACAGATAAAGAAAAATAACACGAAGCACTTAACTTAATTTCTGTCGCAAAACTTCAATAGGAACGAAAAATCAAATAAAAACGATTTTGTTTAAGGACAAAATTTTATACTCCAATAGCCTATCGAGGATCCAAGATTAGTAAATCAGTAACAAGGACACGTGGCTTAGTGGATAAAGACGTTGATTAGATCCAGTGTCTAGAATCAAAGAATTGTGTGTTCACTACCAGGCCACAATAATGGTGAACCAAGAACCTGGAGAGTTGAGTTAACTGGGGCATCCGGAAAAGGTACGGCACGTGAAACTAGAGTAATCTACCTCAGTGAATGAAATAAAGGGTTCGATTCGAAATTCCAATCACCTGAAGAAGGCCGGAGCATATAACGGCTGAAACGTTGTGAATATAGCGATGAAGGTGAGGATAACAGTCCAAAAAATGTAAATAATGCAAGTAATCATGATACCTCATTTCAGAGATATAGACAGATATATAGAGAGACATAGACATAAAAGCCGAAGCGTACAACGGCCGAAACGTTGTGAATATGGCAATGAAGATGAGGATAACAGCCCGAATAATGTAAATAATGCAAGTAAACTTAATACCTCATCTCAGAGATATAGACAGAGATAGACATAAAGGCCGGAGCGTACAACGGCCGAAACGTTGTGAATATGGCAATGAAGATGAGGATAACAGTCTGAATAATGTAAATAATGCAAGTAATCATAATACCTCATCTCAGAGATATAGACAGATATATAGAGAGACCTAGACATAAAGACCGGAGCTATAGACAAATATATATATAGAGAAATAAAGGCCGGAACGTACAACGGCCGAAACGTTGTGAATATGGCAATTAAGATGAGGATAACAGTCCGAATAATGTAAATAATGCAAGTAATCATAATACCTCATCTCAGAGATATAGACAGATATATAGAGAGACCTAGACATAAAGGCCGGAGCTATAGACAAATATATATATAGAGAAATAAAGGCCGGAACGTACAACGGCCGAAACGTTGTGAATATGGCAATTAAGATGAGGATAACAGTCCGAATAATGTAAATAATGCAAGTAATCATAATACCTCATCTCAGAGATATAGACAGATATATAGAGACCCTAGACATAAAGGCCGGAGCTATAGACAAATATATATATAGAGAAATAAAAGGCCGGAACGTACAACGGCCGAAACGTTGTGAATATGGCAATTAAGATGAGGATAACAGTCCTAATAATGTAAATAATGCAAGTAATCATAATACCTCATCTCAGAGATATAGACAGATATATAGAGAGACCTAGACATAAAGGCCGGAGCTATAGACAAATATATATAGAGAGAAATAAAGGCCGGAACGTACAACGGCCGAAACGTTGTGAATATGGCAATTAGGATGAGGATAACAGTCCGAATAATGTAAATAATGCAAGTAATCATAATACCTCATCTCAGAGATATAGACAGATATATAGAGAGACCTAGACATAAAGGTCGGAGCTATAGACAAATATATATATAGAGAAATAAAGGCCGGAACGTACAACGGCCGAAACGTTGTGAATATGGCAATTAAGATGAGGATAACAGTCCTAATAATGTAAATAATGCAAGTAATCATAATACCTCATCTCAGAGATATAGACAGATATATAGAGAGACCTAGACATAAAGGCCGGAGCTATAGACAAATATATATAGAGAGAAATAAAGGCCGGAACGTACAACGGCCGAAACGTTGTGAATATGGCAATGAAGATGAGGATAACAGTCCGAATAATGTAAATAATGCAAGTAATCATAATACCTCATCTCAGAGATATAGACAGATATATAGAGAGACCTAGACATAAAGGCCGGAGCTATAGACAAATATATATATAGAGAAATAAAAGGCCGGAACGTACAACGGCCGAAACGTTGTGAATATGGCAATTAAGATGAGGATAACAGTCCGAATAATGTAAATAATGCAAGTAATCATAATACCTCATCTCAGAGATATAGACAGATATATAGAGAGACCTAGACATAAAGGCCGGAGCTATAGACAAATATATATAGAGAGAAATAAAGGCCGGAACGTACAACGGCCGAAACGTTGTGAATATGGCAATTAAGATGAGGATAACAGTCCGAATAATGTAAATAATGCAAGTAATGATAATACCTCATCTCAGAGATATAGACAGATATATAGAGAGACCTAGACATAAAGGCCGGAGCTATAGACAAATATATAGAGAGAAATAAAGGCCGGAACGTACAACGGCCGAAACGTTGTGAATATGGCAATTAAGATGAGGATAACAGTCCGAATAATGTAAATAATGCAAGTAATCATAATACCTCATCTCAGAGATATAGACAGATATATAGAGAGACCTAGACATAAAGGCCGGAGCTATAGACAAATATATATAGAGAGAAATAAAGGCCGGAACGTACAACGGCCGAAACGTTGTGAATATGGCAATTAAGATGAGGATAACAGTCCTAATAATGTAAATAATGCAAGTAATCATAATACCTCATCTCAGAGATATAGACAGATATATAGAGAGACCTAGACATAAAGGCCGGAGCTATAGACAAATATATATAGAGAGAAATAAAGGCCGGAACGTACAACGGCCGAAACGTTGTGAATATGGCAATTAAGATGAGGATAACAGTCCTAATAATGTAAATAATGCAAGTAATCATAATACCTCATCTCAGAGATATAGACAGATATATAGAGAGACCTAGACATAAAGGCCGGAGCTATAGACAAATATATATAGAGAGAAATAAAGGCCGGAACGTACAACGGCCGAAAC